GGCAACGATGCAGAGCTCTCCAGCAGAGATGACCGTGCAATCTCAGACTAGAAAGAGGGCCCCAGCATGGACTGATCAGGAAGTCTTGGATCTCATCTCTGTGTGAGGAGATGAGTCCGTGCTTTCCGAGCTGCGCTCCAAAAGACGGAATGCAAAGATCTATAAGAAGATCTCTAAAGCCATGGCAGAGAGAGGATACAGCCGGGATGCAACGCAGTGCCGCGTGAAAATCAAGGAGCTGAGACAAGGCTACCAGAAGACCAAAGAGGCAAACGGACGCTCCGGAGCCCAGCCCCAGACATCCCGTTTCTACGAGGCACTGCATTCCATCCTAGGTGCGGCCGCCACCACTACCCCACCAGTGACCGTGGACTCTGAGGATGGGATATTGTCCACTGCCGGTTCCTCGGACATGTTAGCGGACGGGGAAGATGAGGAAGGAGGAGATGAGGACGAGGCAGTCGACAGCGCTTGCAACGCTGATTTCCCCGACAGCCAGGATCTCTTCATCACCCTTACAGAGATCCCCTACCAACCGTCCCCAGCCGTTAACCCGGACACAGAATCAGGGGAAGGATCATCCAGTAAGTGTTTTAAACATCTAAACATTTATTTTTAACAGAACAGGAATGTTAACAATACCAACAATGGGTTTCTCATGATTAGTTTGCCCTAGGCGCTTAACGTTTCAGTGCAACAATTAAAAAAAAATCTAACAGTGTCTGGTTTTGCATGATTGTTCTGCCCAAGCCACTCTACTGTTTAGTCCCTGCCAGTGCAGCTACAGTAAAATGCGGTCTACATGTCCGGGGATAGAGCAGAAATCCTCCTGGGACATCTCGACGAAGCTCTCCTGGAGGTAATTGGAAAGCCTTTGCATCAGGTTCCTGGGGAGAGCGGCCTTATTGGGTCCTCCGTGGTATGAAACGTTTCCGCGCCAGGAGACAATCAAGTACTCCGGGATCATTGCCCTACAGAGCATGGCGGCATACGGCCCTGGTCTTTGCAGGCTTTCCCGAAGCATTCTTTCTTTATCACTGTCTGAGATCCTCATCAGGGTGATGTTGCTCATGGTGACCTGCTTTGAATTAGGTAGGGGAATGTTAGTATTGGGACTGCTTGCCCGTTCCTTTACAGAACTGTAACCGGCGGTTTACAGCCACGCGGTGGAGGCGGGAGAGGGGCGGTATACAGGGATCTTTCCCTGGGACAGCCGCGAGGGGGTGGGACAGGGGCAGAGTTGATGCTTGCCGGATTGCTGGCAGCAGGGACTGGCATTGCTTTCAATGTGAAAGGAGACCAGTGCTACTATTAAAGTTTTAAGCAGCCACAAGTCTACGGCTTACCATGTCTGCCTGCTACACAAATTCCGGTGTCCTGCCCCGCTTCTCAGATCGGCAGTGCAAGACCCCAGGCACTGAATGCGAGGGCCGAAAATTCGACCTAGAGGAGAGTCTGTCTGAAGGGTGGGAAGGGGGTTGGTAATTGGACAGGACAGCAGCAGGGCACACACACATTGCAGTCACTAGTTACCCTGGTCAGTCTGGGAGGTGGTTTTCATGTTCTGTGGGGGGGTGGGGGGTTGCTCTGTGACTTTGTGGCGGGGGAGGGCAGTTACAGATCTTATGCAGCGGTCCTTATCCTGGATCACAGAGCCACGCAGCAGGGGATCTGTAACCCTCCTCCCCCTGCCACAAAGTCACATAGCCCCCACATACACGCAGTCCCGATCAGGAGGGCTTGCAGGCTCCGTTGAAACAACCAGTCCACCACTGCGGAGCCTGTCATTCCTGCAGTTTAGAAGCGTCATTTGCATCAGGACACTACACCCGCTCCCCACCACAGTCTGCGTCCCAGGTTTAAAACATTCCTGCGAAAACAGTAATAAAGAAAACGGTGTCCATTAACAAAATAGAAGTCAGTTTATTTTTAAACATGTGTTGGAAGGGGGCGAAGGGGGTATGTAACTGGAGAGGATAGTCAACATTAACTGGGTAAAGAAACGGGGGCAGGTTCAGCGTCTCTGTACACAAACTTAAAAGTCACAGGTTACCCTGCTCACTCAGGAACCTAGCTTTCAGAGCCTCCCGGATGCACAGCGCGTCCTGCTGGGCTCTTCTAATCGCCCGGCTGTCTGGCTGGGCGTAATCAGAAGCCAGGCTATTTGCCTCAACCTCCCACCCCGCCATAAAGGTCTCCCCCTTGCTCTCACAGAGATTGTGGAGCACACAGCAAGCTGCTATAACAATGGGGATATTGGTTTTGCTGAGATCACAGCAAGTCAGTAAGCTTCTCCATCTCCCCTTGAGACGGCCAAAAGCACACTCCACCACCATTCTGCACTTGTTCAGCTGGTAGTTGAAGAGTTCTTTTTCAGTGTCCAGGGCGCCAGTATAGGGCTTCATGAGCCAGGGCATTAGCGGGTAGGCTGGGTCCCCGAGGATCACTGTAGGCATCTCCATATCCCCAAGAGTTATTTTGTGGTCCGGGAAGTAAATACCTTTCTGCAGCCGTCTAAACAGACCAGAGTTCCTGAAAACGCGAGCGTCATGAACCTTGCCCGGCCATCCGACGTTTATGTTTGTAAAACATCCCCGATGGTCCACCAGTGCTTGCAGCATTGAAAAGTAGCCCTTTCTGTTAATGTACTGGCTGGCCTGGTGGTCCGGTCCCAGGATAGGGATGTGAGTTCCATCTATAGCCCCACCGCAGTTTGGGAATCCCATCGCGGCGAAGCCATCTATGATGGCCTGCGCGTTTCCCAGGGTCACTACCTTTGAGAGCAGTACCTCAACGATTGCGTTGGCTACTTGCATCACAACAACCCCCACGGTAGATTTGCCCACGCCAAAGTGGTTCGCGACTGACCGGTAGCTGTCTGGCGTTGCAAGCTTCCAGAGGGCTATGGCCACTCGCTTCTGGACAGTCAGGGCTGCTCGCATCCGGGTGTCATTGCGCTTCAGGGCAGGGGACAGCAACTCACAAAGTTCCATGAAAGTCCCCTTCCGCATGCGAAAGTTTCGCAGCCACTGGGATTCATCCCAGACCTGCAGCACTATGCGGTCCCACCAGTCCGTGCTTGTTTCCTGGGCCCAGAATCGCTGTTCCACAACATCCACATGACCCATTGTCACCGTGATGTCCTCGGCGCTGGGTCCCGTGCTTTCTGACAGGCCTGTGCTACTCTCAGACTTCAGGCCCTCACCGCGGTGCCGTAGCCTCTTCGCCCGATTTATCTGCATCTGCCTCTGGGAAAGGTGGATGATAAGCTGCGAGGCGTTGACAACGGCCACAACTGCAGCGATGGTCGCAGTGGGCTCCATGCTCGCACTGCTGTGGCGTCCGCGCTGTCACTGACCAGAAAAGTGCGCGAACTGATTTCCCGCCGGCGCTTTCAGGGAGGGAGGGAGGGCGGTAGTGACGGACGGACAACAGTTACCCAAAAGCACCCTCGACACATTTTTTTACCCAGAAGGCATTGGCGGCTCGACCCAGAATTCCAATGGGCAGCGGGGACTGCGGGAACTGTGGGATAGCTGCCCACAGTGCACCGCTTCCAATGTCGACGCTTTCCCCGTTAGTGTGGACTCACAAAGTCGAATTATTGTCCTTAGTGTGGACACACACGTTCGACTTTGCAATATCGATTCCACATATTCGATTTAAGTGAAATCGAACTACTCTCGTAGTGTAGACATACCCTGAGTGTAGCAGAATGCAGTACCTCATTTTTTTTTCATTTTGTAATGTGTTATTAATTAAGATGGCTGTTTTAATGTATGAGATAAAGTTCAATGGACAAGCACCACCACAGATTTATGTATAGATATTTATGTGCTTTTTATGGAATAATCTGTTCATTCTGCATATGGAAAGAGAAATGCTAAAATGTGCATACTTTTGATCTGTTCTCAAGAAATATAGTCTTCCTGAATCCCAAGCAACTGAAGTGAAAACATTGCCTACTTGTTCTATATATGCCTCTTGTGTGAATATAGTGCATTGATAATATTAACAATGTCTATTCAATACAGGATATGCCTGTCGTTCCAAGTCAGCTTAGTGCACTTAGGAGATATAGGGAATGTGTGTTTTTTTACTATCAGAGACTGTGCATATCATATACTGGTAATACACTAGGAGTAAGAAGCAAGAGCTGCTGTGTATCTCATTACAAAGATAGGAATCTACCATTTCCAATGGCATAAACTCTCATTTCTAGCCCTAATGGATCATAAGATATCTGACCTTAAACTTGCACAGCCTGGGTATCAGAGCTTTATAATTTTGTGGGAGAAATGTCAAAAACAGAGTTGCAATAAATGGTTTTGGATTTCCTGTGCATAGTATCTCTCTCTCTCATAGATGTGTGTGTGAACGTGCACCTTTATCATTTCACCTGGACTCGGTTATCTAATCGGTCTGTGGTACACTTCCTAGTCCCACCGCCCACAAATGATAATGCCATTGTTCCCCCCGTTAATATGAACAGGTTTTTATGCAAGACTTGAGTATCATAACTTTTGGCAGCAACAGCACTATCCCAATACAATTTTAAGGAAGACAGAGGTAGGGAACTTTTCCACGAATGAACTTCAGATCCCCAATTCAAACGTTTATTTTGTTCTTGTAAATAACATGTTTGGTTGGGTTTTTTTTAGCCAGTGGCAGAAATTCCTATCTATAAAGAATAACATCAATGTTGTATTAATTAGCCTTTCATTAATGCTTAGATTTCGTAGTTTACTTGAAGTCCTAAATAAATTCAGGATTGATTGTTTTGGATTTTTTTTCATGATGCAGGATTTTCTTTTACTCATTTTATGATATTCTTATTTTAAATTACATTTTCCTTTGACAATATTTTTAGTGAGTAGATGCAAACTGTTTCTTCTTGCTTTGAAAATTTTCTTCTCCAAAGCAAGATCCCTTGTTGGGAGAAAATAAAATAGGATGGAAAGTTGATTCTTAAGTATTTACATTCTGATTTTCAATTGCAGCTCAGTGCCATAGATGCAGACCAAGGGCCAAATGGGCAGATCATATACGAAATTCTGGCTGGGGACCAGGGAGACTTCATCATTAATGACCGAACGGGCCTTATCACCATCGCTCCAGGAGTTGTATTGTCAGTAGGGAGGTCCTATGCACTCACTGTCAAAGCATCTGACAATGCTCCTCCTGCACAGAGAAGGTAATTAATTATATAATAAAAAGTATTTTTTAACCTATGTCTATCCCAGCAATTAAATTTAAGAAGCACAGCGTACTCTTATTCGTAAAAATCTGCGCTGCATCGGGCATTCAGAGGGAGATGGCTTCAATTTATTCTGTTTTGTGCGTTGATCCCACTTCAAGTTTTCTTTTGATAAGTACTATATTAGAAATTAGTCTAATACTTGCATTTTCATGGCTTATTTACATATTCTCTGCAGCTCACAACTTTCACTATTTCATTCCCCTTGAATTATCTCCTTTTTAAAATTAAATTATTGCCTGTTGAATTTTATCTGTCCTTGTTTGTATGAGAAATTAAAAGTGAGAGAAAGGAAGATAGATGTTGGTTGTCTGGACATTGCTTGCTATGATGCAGAAATGATTAATAATAGTATCTTCAGAATGATCCCTCAGCTGGCAACTGCCTTCTGCCCAGGTGACAAGGTATTATAGTATTCATGTTCATCTGGACTTGGCTTATTTTGTCACATAAATTGCAAGCTGTGTAAATAATGAAGTACACACCACTAAAACCTAAATTCACACCAGCAAAGTCATTTAATGTCTAATCTCAGACTACTGTCAGATCAGAGCAGTTTGTGTGTTGTCTGTGGTTGGCTCAGGATTGTCGTGTTCCCCAAATAAAGCTATCCAGTCCCCCTTTCCTGCTTCTTTTGTTCTCGATTTCTGTGTGCTGAAAATAAGCAAAAATGTTGGCACTTCACTATTGTGTAGAGAAATACATAACAGTGATTGAGATGACATGTTCTGGGCCCAATGCCAATAAGGCGTCATTGTGCTGAAAATGTGAAAAGTCAATTCTCCAATTAAGGGGACTGGGAGAAATGGCAGCCTTGTGTAACTGCACCTCTCAATGTTTCTCACATTCACAAATTGGGCAGTCAATGTAAGAGGAAGATATCATCATGTGAGTTTACCCAGATGCCTATCCCCTGCCCCCCAAGACCAACTTCTGCTGTTAAGTCTGCAAGCAATCAGCACACTATGGTGGCTAAATTGAGCTGGGATGTTATTTGTTTATTCCAAATTACTATATATTTCCAAATTATTGGCATATGCTGATCCATCAGACTATTTACAAACTAAGCTCTGTAAACATGTGATCTTATATTTGAACTGAAACTTCTTTATAGAATACATTCTTTAGCTGCCAGGATTTCTTTTCCCCAAAAACATTTCAGATTTGTCAAAGTTCATCTTAAACTCATATACTTTATCTTACATTTTGTCTTCCCTTCCCTCTTATCATGTGTTACACTCTTCTGTTACACCATGTTTCAATTTAGACGGTAAACTCTTTGATGCAGACACTGTGTAGTGTTATGTATTTGTATAGTTCCTAGCACGCTGGGTTCCTGATTAGTTGGTTCTGCAATACAAATAATTTACTTGTTGAACACTAGCATGGAACAGGAAGATCTTTAAGGTTGTTGTTAAAATATTTAAAGCATTTGACTCAAAGGCTAGCTCTCTTAGTATTCATGGTGTCCATTACACCTTGGTCCAAGATAGACTTTTCATTCTCTACAGCAGTGGTCTCCAAAGTAAAAGAGGATTTTTCGGGGGCAAGAATTAGAGAAGCGTGTTCCAAGGACAGTGTGTTCAGCCGGGAGTCCGAGCAGTTTTTTTTTTTTTTTTTTTTTGCTTCTACAGTTCGGCCGGGAGCAGGGGGTGTGTGCTCAAAATTTTTTGACTGATGGGGTGCGCGATCAAAAAAGTTTGGAGACCACTGCTCTACAGCACTGTTTTCACTAGTAATAAACCCTTTACCAAATCTTAAAAGAATTATTAACACATGCCCTAAGATCTATATTTTAATGGTATCCTGCTGGGAGATGAATTCCTTACTTCTATTAGAGAGGCTGATTATTACAATATTCAACAAAAGCAAGTTAAGGTCTCACTTCTTGTAGTTCCATTGGTCTATTTTGTTATAGACTTATGACATATTTTTTTGGGGTGCCTCCGTTTTTGAGTGTCCAACATGAGATGCATTCAAGGAGCCTGACTGCCAGAAAGTGGATGTTCAGAACTTTCAGTAAATCAGGCCTCTCTCAGACATCTTATGTGAATCACCCAAAATTACTAGTCAGAGATTAGACAAGGTTTATCGAAGATAGACAGATGGCAACAGAAGAAAGAGTCTGGAAATTACTCACTTGGCTCTAAAGTTAGGTAATGCACACAGGCTTCTTTTATTTCATTCAGAGAAATAGAATCTTTGAATAAATTCTTAATTCATATTAAGGGGGTAACTCCACTATTCTCAGATCCCATACACTGATACCGGAGCAATCGTTTGAATAAATGGCAATAGATATTGCTTGATTGTTCATTAAAGAATCAAGCAAGAGTGCCCATTTGCACTCTTGTTACTGGCTATAGTCATAGAATACTTTGCTGAGAGAGTATGTGACCACATGCATAATACAGTGCACATTGTACCTGAGGTACATCACAAAGCAGAGCTGCATATGTATGGGATCTTGCTGTTTTTGATTACTTTGAGGAGATAAACACGTTTAAATCTTTGCAGAAGTTTATGGGTTTAAGATGAAGTTTGACAAATCTGAAATGTTTTGGGGGAAAAGGAATCCTAGCAGCTAAAGAATGTGTTCTATAAAGAAGTTTTAGTTCAAATATATAGCTCTCTCCCTGAGGTTCTTGCGGTGGACATCTCTTAGGATCTGGAACAACTATCTGACCTTAATTTTTATCCATGAATACAACAAATAAGAAGACAGTGTGATCTGTGGAACACACATACAATCTTATTGGAGTATTGCTAACATTCAGAGGAAGATTTCTCCAGTTATTATATTTCAGTTCCTCCCCATAGTAATTCCAGACAGAATTCTAACACACATACAGAACATTCTTTAATATTTTATCTGAGAGAAAGAGAGTCCAAGAATGAATGAGGTTACACAAACCCTAACGATGATGGGCTAGAGGAGCAGTACCAAATCTAATACACTCTTACAAAACGGGGGAGGGATAGCTCAGTGGTTTGAGCATTGGCCTGCTAAACCCAGGGTTGTGAGTTCAATCCTTGAGGGGGCCACTTAGGGATCTGGGGCAAAATCAGTACTTAGTCCTGCTAATGAAGACAGGGGGCTGGACTCAATGACCTTTCAAGGTCCCTTCCAGTTCTAGGAGAAAGGATATCTCCATTAATTTATAAATGTATTTATTTATACATTTAAAATATGCCAGTTATGGGCTTTCGTAGACTAAGGGATGTGATGAGCAAAACAGACCCTGATGCACACTGTCCAGGTTTGCATAATAAAGTGAAGTGGCATCAATCTAGATATTGGGGGTGGAGGGAATGACTCTAGGCAAGTTCTTTTCCTGGTTTAGAGAAGTTGAGGAGAATGTTTGGCTCTCTGACTCAATATTATAAAGGAACAGTGCTGCACTGCTTTTAGAGCAGCTCAAAGAGAGGGTACAGTCTCTAAGGAAAAAAAATGACTACCAGATAGAAACTCTTTTTGTTTCCCCAGAAAGCTTGAGGGAATCTATTTGGACGGACCTGGAAGCAAGCTTTAGACTAGGTCTTGTTTTTGTCGCTTCCTCTTTATACAGCAAATAAATGAAGGAGGACTTTAGAATTCCAGTAAAGAGCTGAAAAGATGTGTTAATAGTACTCATATATTTAGATTGGTTTAATTTTTTAAAGCTACCAATAGCACAAAATGAGATAAGTGATGAGTAACTGATATTTCTCTGGAAAACTAGAAAACTAAACATTTCAATTCACTCACTCAAAAATTCATTCGCCTATTTTTTGATGAGTAACTGATATTTCTCTGGAAAACTAGAAAACTAAACATTTCAATTCACTCACTCAAAAATTCATTCGCCTATTTACCATGTTTCCTTTTTAAAGTATAGGGAAATACTGAAGTTTTTTCATGTAACACTGTGTAGTAATTGAGGACAAATATTAACTTTTTAATGGTGACTACTATATACTGAATATTTTATAAACTCAAGTTTATTAGTGGTTTTTGACTTATCTACAGCTGATGGCATTTCCTGGCTAAAGGCTATGTTATTGACTTCATTGGTGCAGGATTTCATCCTAGGGATATAGCAGTTTGTTTAGTTGAAGAGTAATCTAATTCAATAAAGTACAATGGTTCTACTTATAAATTTTCTTCCTTGGAAGACTTTGTGAGAGAAATTTCCTATACTCAGAAGAGGGGAATACAGCTGGATTTTCTCTCAAATGTGACCATTATTCTTGGGAAAAAATAAGAAAGTTTAATTGGGTTTAGTAAGAGTTCAATAAGAAGTAAAGAAACATGAAATAGTAATTTAGATGAGGAAAAATATCTCATTGTCAAACGAAGTAATAAATGACTGGGTTCTGCTTTGTGAATCCAAATTTAAAATTAGCTTAGTTCTATGTCTTATTTTTGATTAACACTTTAAATTAATGGTTTGTAATTCATTATAGCCATATGGTAAGATACTGTACTCGATATTCTTAAGATCTCCATTATTAGCTAGACTTAGTAACATGGTATAAGTGTACTAAATTATATTTAATTACATTAATCAAGGACAAATGTTTCATGCTTAATTCTGTCAGCTATTCGTTATTTATGTCAGAGTTAAGGAGTCATTCATGAGCAATTTCCAGTGTATTGACAAAAAGGAAAGGCATTTGTGATATATGAGCAATTATAGAGCAGATTTTAAGGTTTCCTGTCCTCTTCCAGTTCTTCTTAGACTGTAGGATCATTACAGTTAATGATGAAAACAATCCACCAGATCAGGTCTATCCACCTGCCCATCTGCATCATAACAGTCTTGGAAAACATACTGAATGTAAATGCATTTTCTCTTTGAAGGGGGTCTACAGTGATCCAATAGGTCCTCAGAAATGAGAGTCCACTAATATGCATACAAATCTCTTTATACTTGTACATTCATGCTAGCATACCT